TAAAAACATTAAAAAATTAAAAAAGTTAAACAAAAAATGCTGAAAATTAAAAGTGATAAAAAATAATAAAAATCAATATTTTAGAACTTGAACTTGCTTTTAAAAACTATAGCTACCAACTTTGGAATGCTTATAAGCAAATTTTTCGCTCATGTTTATTATTTTATGCGGCGTGTTAAAGAACTAACGAGTCTAAAATTAATTCATAACAAAAAGGTTAACTTGTAATTTAAAAGCGCTTATTTCCAATGCAAATCTCTTGTTTAGTGCGGCATATTTGTGGCTCTTTATTATCTTTGAGGTTAGCGTGTGTGGCTTACTAGTTTAACTGGTACCAACTAACACTAGTACACGACTGGTTCACTTCCTGCATGCATGCATACAACTAAAAGGCTTTTTTAAAAAGCTTTAACATTTAGAACACTTTTTAAGACTTCTATTTTATGCTTTACTACAACTGTCAATATTCAAATCTCTTTCACTTTTTGCCACGCATTGACGCGCCTTCAATGCGCTGCAGAAAATAACTCTTTCTGTTGCTCCTCATCCTAGTTTATCATCTAAGTTTGCGCTTTCAAACAAATAATCTACTTGGAATATCTTCATGTATACAAAAGTATTAGCGTAAATATTCCAAGTATAATTTTGAAATAGAAATAATTGTTGATATCGCAATTAGACAGCGACGCTGATGGATTCTCAATTTGCATCGCTCTGTTAGTAAGTTCATGCTCACGCTCACGCCCACGCCCACGCCTACACACTCCAATGCGTACGCGAAATGTCAGACTGCATGGCCATTTTTGCGCGTATGTTGCTGTGCGACGCTGGCTTTGCTCGCTCTGGCACTGGCGGACGCACCACCGCGCCTGCTAGCCGACGCTGTAGCTGCAGTGACACTTGGTCGTTCACTTTGTCGACTGCCACGCTTTTGCGCTGCCGCCGCTGAATGTGCAGCGCTACGCTTTTCACGCCAACGATCTATAGGCGTATAGCAGCACTTGAAGAATGGCGCACGCCGGCGCTGCTCTTCAGAGCTAGCGGAACTACTGGTGCTCTTTGCTAGCGACGCCTCCGTTAGTGAGGTGGCGGTGAGTTCGGTTTGTACGCCGCTGCTGGTCAGACGCGCTTGCATGTCGTAGCGTCTGGGTGTGGTCGGCACGTCAACGCCGCTTGAGGATGGTGTTGGTGTGGCAGGCGCTGGTGGCGGTGGTGCCTTGCAGATGACGCTCGGCGGCTCGGTCTCGTGCAGCTCGAGGGATTGCTCCGACGAGACAGATGCAGCCGATGTGCCCGTTGTCGTCGTAGTCGATGGTCGGAACTCGTGTGAGCTGCTCTCAACCATGGCAGTGCGATAGTTGGCGGCAAAATAATTTGTCTCCAAATAGTGGCAGGACTGAAAAAGGTAGTCGTCGAATTGTTGCAGCAAATATTGCTGTTGATCGACGCTGTCGATCGCCTCGTCGCTGTCGAGCGGATATTGCGTGCACTGCTGTTGGTGCAGTGAGGCATAACGTCGTATGCCTTTGTGTGACAGCGACGATGGCGAGGTTATCACAAGCGATTGCGCTGTCGGTGAGTGTGCCTTGTCCACGCCGTGGCCCATATGCTGTTGCTGTTGCTGTTGCTGCTGTGTTAACTGCTGTTGTTCATCCAGCTGTCGCTGTCTTTGCTCCATATCAACAATTTCTATTTCTTCTATATCACTAAAACTATTTAATTGTTTCAACAAATAATGCACATCATTTCGTTTCATTTGATTATCGTCGTTTGATGGCGCTGTTGCAGCAGCTACGGCCGTCAAGGCAGCCGCTTCCACTTCCGAAGCTATTTCCGCTCGCGTTGTACGCGAACGATCATGCGTTGCACCGGATTTTCCTTTCACTTTCGCTTTCGGTTTTGCTGTTTGTGCGGTTGTTGCTGTTGTTGTCTTCGCTGTTGCCGCCGCCGCTGCTGCTGCTGTTGTGAAATTAATTTTTTTCGTTTGCGAATCGGTCGAGACAATGTCGGGATAGACGAGCGCTAAGCGCTGCTGTAGTGCATCACTCAGCGTTGCTGGTGGTGCTGCACCGATGCATATGGCATGTTGCATGCTCTCTTGCGCTTGCTGCTGTTGTTGCAAATGGTGCTGATAATAGTTAGTTGCCGGCATTGTACTGTCGATGATTCGGTTAAATTTAGCTAATGCCGTTGATGATGAATTCAACAATGACGGTGATGATGATAACGATGTCGCTACTCGTTTTGTTGCTGCTGCTACTGTTCCCACGTCTCCTCTAATTGTGGTTGTTGTTGTAGTTGTAGACGACTGTCCCACTGCAATTGCTTCGATTTTGCTATATGCTTTCCTAAGTTGTTGTTGTTCTGCTTCTAGTATTTGTTGTTGATGTTGTTTTTGTTCGTGTGGTTGTAGTTGTTGTTGTTGTTGAGGCACTGTTGTGACGGTTTCTACATTAACACCATCCCATTTTAACTTAGATACTGCTACTGCTGCTGCTTCCATCGAATCACTCGCATTACCATCATTATCAACATTCAATGTTCCCGTTACATTTAAATTTAAATGTAATTGGTTTTTCATGAACAATCTTCTACTATTACTTAATAACGCGTTCGTAGTTATATTAGTTAAATTAGTCGTATTTTTCGCACAAGTAGTAGTTGTAGTGCTTGCAGCTGTTGCGGCTGCCACAGCTGATGCGGCGGCCGCGGTTGTTGTTGTTGCTGTTGCTGTCGCACTGATTTTGGTATTAGCTAAATTTCTATTAAAAATTAATTTCCTCGACGAAATGATGTCATTATTGTCGCTCCCCCGCGATTACCGACTATCGCGGGTGGAGCGAGGCCTTCCCTAACTGGATGTCGAAGCGATTGGCGATACTGGCGACAGCGGACTGCGCGCTGTCTCACGCGGACACCCAGACAGTGTTATAACTAGCTTGCGTGAACCCGCTTGATCGCGATGCTCGCATAGCCAAACGCCCTGCCATGTACCAAGCGATAATTTACCATCAGTTATGGGGATTGTCAATGAGCTGCCGAGGAAGCAGGCTTTCACGTGCGCCGGCTGCAAGCATCAATTCAAAATAAATACAATTTTTACAATTAACGGCATTGTAATTCATCATTTCAAAAATTTGGTTGTACCCACCATATCATCGGGTCCTTCGCACGAGTGCCTGTACGGTAGACCTTCGGGAACTATTTTATTTAACATCATTTCCATGTCGTCTCTATATATCACACATATTAAGTTAAAATTAGGCAATTATAAAGAAATCAATTTGGTTTAAACAAAAGGACTAGAATAATTGGTTTTATATTACCTGACGTCTGGATCCCAACTCTCATTTAACGCCAAACTCGCGGATGTGTGAAGGACTGTAATCAAAAAAGAAAAAAAAAACAGTTATTTCACGAAGCATTTCTAAATTTCACAATGTTTTAGAAAATATTGAAATTAATTGAAAGATTCGTATATTCTACCAAGCTACAAAGAGAATAATTGTTTTTTCATCTAACGGTTATTTTCAATACTTATAACGAATCGAAATATATTTAGAGTTTAAAGTATCGAACCACTGACACGCCCACAAACACGCCCGACACAAATGGAGATAGAAAACTCAAATTCCCCACCAGGGACGATGGTAGGGATAGGCTTCTTTGATTCAAATAGTGAAGTCTCATATCTTGGTAACTATTAGACCGATCCGAACCACATTTTCCGCTTAACATTACCTTGATATCCTTTTATCTATAGTTTGAAAATGGCTTCCACGATTCTTTCAGTTCACAATATTCTTAATATGAATACCAGACAATGAAAATGAATATATCGAGATAGCTGAAACACTAAAAAAGAACGTGTTGGACATAATAATATTGAATATTCAGGTATTACAAATCTCAAAAATCTTAGTGCAATGTGGATGTTGATCAGTGATTTATATTTCATTATGTGCATATTTCAGGATGTACATTGAGTAATTATCATCGATAATCTTGATAAGGAGAAAGACATCTGCATTGTCAATTATCAAGGGTTAGGTGAATATTTGCATCAGTCTTGATCTTTTTCCTTGGTTTAAAGTATAATCAGCCTTATAGTAAACCTCACGTGAATAAATCATTCCCATGCATTTTTATTTTCATGCGAGCGAAAATATTATATCGCGGATTTCGTATGAAGTGTTCGAATTCGATTACGCTATTGTGAACTTCGGCAAGCCGTCACATATGGTTTTGTTTTGATTTAATGCCAATGTTTTCATTTTTAATTATATATCGTACATATACAGTAGTGGATAAAACTCTACGTACGACCCCTTTTTCTTAAATTTAACAAATTCTGTAGGATGAGAAGGAAAAGTAATGATGCAAGGTTGTTTTAAATCTTATTATTGTCTGACAAATAACAAAAAAGTATAATACTCCAATATTAATTTTTAAAGTTACTCACTTAAATCTGAAAAAACGCATTGACAAAAGTCTACATACGTTTTATTAGTTTCATTCATTTCACTATTTTTCTCTGCTGAAGCATAACGGTAAATTGACGTTTGTTTCATTTATGTCTGTACTTTGCACTATTCTCGGAATTTATTACATTTTGGCATTTTAAAAGTGTCTACGACCGGAAAAATGAATCCAAGCAAAGAAATTTCGGTGGATGTACGAAATTTAGTTATTAAACATAGAAATGAGAATAAATCATGTGGCGAAATAGCAAAATTATTATGTTTAAGCAAATCGACGGTGCAGACCATATTTAGTAACTTTAAAAAATCAAATTCCATCSAGAGTAAGCTGCGMACTGGCCGTCCGAAGAAGCTTAACCGCAGAGACCTTTCATTCATTCGCAAAGAAGTAGACCGAAATCCCAAAGTTCATGCTACTAAATTGGCCCAGGACATAGCTGAGAGATCCCAAATTGTTGTTCACCCACGCACAGTAACAAGGGCCCTGAATAATGAAGGATTTAACTGCAKAACTCCTCGTAAGAAGCCCCTTATAAGTGAGAAAAACCGGAAACTTTGCTTAGGGTTTGCAAAAAAACATATAAATAAGTTAATTGACTTATGGAAACGTGTTCTATTTACGGATGAGTCCAAATACAACATCTTTGGATATGACGGGAAAGCCAAAGTTTGGAGAAAACCGAACACTGCTATGAATCGCAAGCACCTAATGCCAACTGTGAGCATGGCGGTGGTAATGTTATGGTTTGGGGAGCAGTTGCAGCCTCAAGAGTTGGAAATCTGGTATTTGTTGAAGGCATTATGGACCGCTTTCAATACAAGTCCATATTGGAAAACAATTTGAAACCATCCGTGGAAAAGTTATGCCTAGGAACGAGCTGGATCTTCCAACAGGACAATGATCCTAAGCATACGTCGCAGGTAGTAAAGGACTGGCTGCTGTATTATGCTCCACGACAGCTGAATTCACCTCCACAAAGCCCGGACTGGAATGTAATAGAACACGAGTGGGAAATTTTGGAGCGAAAGATCCGAAAGCACGCTATTAGTGGTGATCCAACTCTAAAAGAGAAGCTGCAAGAGGAGTGGCAGAAAATAACGCCGGAAGAGCTCGAAAATTTAGTAGCTTCAATGCCTAGACGGTTGCAAGCGGTCATCGATGCCGGTGGTGGCCCAACAAAATATTAAATTTTATTATTTATTTTTTAAATTTTAATATTATTTCTTTTTTTAAATTCGTACGTACACTTTTGGCAGTGCCTTTTTTCAATTTTCTGTGAATATCTTTAAAAGTTAGTATTGGAGATATATATTAGTTTGTTATTTTATATAYAACTATAAGATTCAAAACAAACCTGCATCATTACTTTTTTTTTTCAAATGTATTGGGACATTTAAATTTAAGAAAAGGGGGTCGTATGTAGAGTTTTGTCCGCCACTGTATATATATTTTTTTTTTTTGTTTTTGATCGAGTCGGTATTATCTGCATAAATAAAGATAACAATGTTCGAATGTATTGGTATATTTGAAGGAATTGTGCACCCACATTGGGTAGCAACTTGAAAATCGATGGTTACCTTTTTCATTCTGGAATCGATTTAGATGTTGGCTTTGCTATTGGAAGAGTCTCGTAACTTCATACTTCGTTGTTTTTTTTTAAACCTTTTCCTTTATCAGGATTTTCGGCCTTACTGCTGACCAAAAACGTCAAATATACTTTGTTAATAGGCCTTAGTTCATATAAAAATGTTTTTAAAATCAAATAAATAGTTAATAAATTATGCTAACATTTTATTGAAAGTTGTTCTAAACCAACAATTTTGTGAACAAATTTCATGGACTCGAGTGAAAAAAATTCAATTACCATAAGGAGAAATTTCGAATACAGGAGATTTTTTCCATGTGAAGTCCACGATAAGAAAAATATAAATTTGTGAATTTTTCAGTTCACGATAAGCCTGAATATTTTTTTACAAGTCCACCATTTTGCGAAACAAATTATATTAAGTTAAGAATGTACGTACTTTCCTAGATTAGGATCCCTTTTTTCTCTCAGATAACACCAATTTCTAGAATTGACTCAATAGCAGCCATTTTTTATGAAAATGTCAATATAAATTTGGTTTAATAGCTTTGGGATCTACTATATACGGCGGATCTGGAACGGAGACTTATTTACGTTCGTAGACCTAAAAAAGATTGCTTGAAAGAGGAATGGCGAAAATCTTGAGGCAATCGGCGTGACTAAATTCTATTTTACAGCAAAAAACAAATCGTACCAATAAATTTATATTGAACTGTTGAAAAATCTTTATAACAGGTGTATCGCACTTGTTGGCAACTAAATGAAAGGTGGTGCAGTTTTAAAATTCTTAAATGGGTAATATCTCAAAGAATGTTGTGTCAAAATTTCCAATCGGTGCTCCACATACCTTCAAAACTACTCCACCGATGCTTTTTAATTCCGTTCATAATTTACAAGGTAATACCGAAAAGTTATTTATACACTTGTTAAAAAAATTTATTTTATAATATATAATTAGTCGATTTTTCGCAAAAAAAAAACGCGTTTTTCCCTTAAAGTATTCCGAAAAATTAAATAGAAATTTAAATTTGGAAAAATCTTCGTTCGAATAATTGCTGCTATGTGACTACTTTTGCACGAATTAACCCTACTTATAATACCTTAATTTTCAAGGACGTACTGGAATATGATAAACACTAAATAACAATACTTCAGTACGTTATTGGTTCTGCTGGATACCGAGGGATAAGTTAGGCTTTCACTTTGTTAAATATTGTACTATACATTCGTATGAACAACCGATGTTCAGACCTTCAGGTTAAATCTGATTTGTTGAACAAAAACTAGTCAAATTCTTTGAAAATAATTTGTCACTTCAAGCTACTACTTCGAATTGGTAWGCTCCTTTCGACTTCGCATTTCGTAATTTAAGTCCATACGTTTTTCAACTTCTTGCGTTGGGTATATTAAGCGATTCAGGATTCTTTCAAAATCGCGAAATGCCAATTAAGAATTTAATAGCTCGTAACTACGATTCATACCGGCGTAATACTAATGGAAATGTTTATCAGATGAAGAAGAATGAAGTTGCAACAATAATATGTATGTATGAATCTTTGGAGAAACGCGTTGTACACCACACCTACAAGAAGGCAACACGATACACGCCAAACACATAAATATATGCCGACATACATACATGCGACAAATACTGAAATGCTTTTTAATTTATACAATTAATTGTTTAAACGGTGGAAACTTTAATTATAACGCACAGTTCATAAAGAATGTCAGACACACCGACGAGTGCGAGTCGCGTGGTTATGCGGCATGCCGCAGTAAGAAGCTACTGCAGTATGAATCTTCTTTAAATAGCCGAATGGGGGTATGCAAATGTTGGTGAAACGAGCATAGCGATTGCGGCGTGTAAACGGCTGAAGTGGTGGTGGGAGGGACGAGCCGATGGGGCTGTGTGTAAAACATGAAAGAAAGAAATAAAAGGACTTCTGTGAAAATATGCAAAAACTGAGACACAATGATGACGCCGGCGACAACAGCAACAGCAGCAACAACAATACAAACATTAATAAGAGCTGCTATAATGGGTGAACAACAGCAGTAACACTGCAAAAAATGGAGAAAATATGTTTGTAGAATTGTAGAACCATATACAGTCATAAGGAAAATAACAGGGATATATTTTGACATGTCATACAAATCCATATATTTTTATTTATTTCAAAGTGTTTTTTTTTTCTTTTTTTTTTTTTTTTTTTGAAATAGCTGAAGTAGTATTTTCAGTGACCAGAAGGCTGTTTTATTGCTTGATTTCTTCCTGCTCAAAGCTACTTTCAACTCTCGCAAGTTTTCAATT